GAAAGAGTTTTTTTCAGTCAGGATGTGGACTATGAATAGGGTCCCACTGGAATGTTGCCGATTTAAACAGCTAGAATCAGATCGCAGCGACTAATCTGCATTTCACACTGAAAATCTGGCATTGGAAGGGAAGAGCTAAAGTGAAAGGCAAACAGCAACAAAATGCACACAGTAGTGTTTAGGAGGCAGGCAGACATGGAGACAGGAACGGGGAGGTCAGGGGTCATTTTAGGCGGCGGGGTCACACTGCATTTCCTCTGGAGAGCTCGCCTCAGCCGTGACCTCTGCTGACCTGAAGCGCGCGAGTGCTTTCGGCTCCAGGTAGCACAGGGACAGGGCCAGAGGCAGCGCCAGCAGCAGAGACAGCGCCACCGACTGGCAGGCGGAGAGGAAGACGGCGAAGATGAGCAGGAAAGAGGGCAGGAGGGAAGGGGAGGAGAGGGGCAGACTGATGCAGCCGTCCTCGTCCAGCAGCGAGGGCAGATGCAGACCCTTACAGAAGCTGAGCATGGCCAGACCCAGCCGGGGCAGGGCGGAGCGGGGCGCTGAGGAGGCCTGCGGCTCTTCAGACCCTGGGACACACTCCGCGGGCGAGGACGACGGAGCGGACAAACCCTCGCCACTGCCAGCTGAGCAGCTGCTGGAGTCTTGGGCCTGCCAGCTCAGAGGCTCAGAGTCAGGCTCGAGGTGGAGGTCGGGCTCGTCCTCGGAGATGTCAGACAACACATCCAGCTCAGAGATGGTGTCGAGGGTCGGCAGGAGGGAGGAGAGGGTGGAGGAGGACGGGGAGAATGGGAACATGAAGAGAGACTGTGTGGGTGCAACGACAGAATGCAACGGAAGAGGAATGTGCATGGCAAAAAGACATGGTGGAGTGCGTGGGGAAAGAGAAAGGGAGAGAGAAACACAACATTAGTCAGTGAGCCGAGTCAAGGTCGGGGTGTGAGGGATGACACATTAGGAAAGACTGATATTTAGGGGTGTGCTAGTGTGTGTGTGCGTGAGGGTGGGCAAGCATTAGACCAGTGTTTCTCAACTGGTGGGTCGCAGAGTGTACGGCCAAAGAAACGGCATCAACAACAAAAAACGAAATTCTGAATGTTTTTCTGATGAGAGACTTTTATTTTAAAAGACGTGCATGAAAGCTGTTGACACTTCTGTCTAGGGTTGGGTATCGAAAACCGGTTCCATTTTAGAACCAGTTCCAAATTTCCAAGAACAAATGATTCCTGCATTCGCATTTAAAAAAACTATGAAATAATGAATCTGACCAAGACATCGTCATGCTGACTTAACTCATTAACTCATTTCCTATTCAAGCAGTGTTGCCAGGTCTGCAGTTTTCCCACGGAATTGGGCTACTTTAACACTGTTACCGTGGGTTGTTTTTCATGTCCGCGGTTTGAAGCGACCCCAATAACGTGGTATTTAGCCCCTGGAATGTGAATTTTAGCAATTGGCCGGGTTTTGTTGTGAAAACCTGGCAACTCTGTATTTAAAGACTCTGTGGTGTAGTCAATAGGCTACTAACTACAAAGTCATAAGTTCACACCCCGGGGAAAAGGGTGAGACATAAACTACCACCATTATGACCTCGACCCACTAAACCCAAGTTTACTCAAGGGTAAGTTTGGGTATCGAAAACCGGTTCCAAATTTCCAAGAACCGGGTATTCGATAAGACGCGTGCATTTCGATTCTGCTTACCGATTCCTGCGTTCTCATTTTAATGTGATTAAAAACGATTTAAGTGCAGGAACGGAAAGAACTTGCGCCCTGTTTGCGTGAAGCGCACACGAAGCGCAAGCGCGAGCACAGAGCACAGAGAACAGAGGTCGTGGTACGGGTTCCCGGTTTGTGTCCGTTCTCGAACCGCTCCGTTC